AAATCATTTTTTAGTCTCTTTTAACTTCAAATTGAGTAACTTGTTGCAAAGTTAATTGTTCTAACTGAACTTTTAATTTTTTAACTTCTTCTTTATAATTACTATTCTCTTTTTTTAATTGCTTAATTCGATTTAACAATTTTTACTTTTGTTTCTTACTTCACTTTTCAGATTTCTCTTAAAATTTAACTACTTCTTCTCTTTTAATATTTAACTCTTCTTTAACAGTTGATAGTTCTTTTTCTAATTTCTTAGTCTTTTTTACTAAATGATAATCAAAAGATTTAGAAGTGCCTGCTTGCCTAATTTTATTATTTTCTAAAAGATTATAGAAACAGGACTCTCTGTTTCTTTTTAGTCATCTACAACTTTTACAGTAAGAAAGAATTTTATTCTCTAAATCCTTTTTACAATTATCATAGATAAAATCAATATTAACACAGTCTTCATCATTATCATATGTCATCACTTCATGAGTAGCAAAAGTGAAAGTTAAATTTTCAGCATGAAGATCTAATACGTAGTAATTACAATCTTCTCTTCTGCTACCTTTTTCTAATTCTAATATTTTATATTCTAATCTCATGCTATTTATCCTTTTGTAAAATATAGGTGTTGAACTTTTCTTGAACCTTTTCTTTGTTTTCTTAATTAACTTTTTCAATTATTGAAGTTTATTTGTTTTTCTTTCTTTTTCTAAATTATTTCTTAATTTTTGATTCTCCACTTTTAATTCGATTAATCTAATATCTTTTCATTTAGCTACCTCATAAATATTCTTTTTGTAATATTCTTCGGATTTGTCTAATGCTTTTAAATTCATTTTAATTTCAATGTTTATTCTTTTTTTTAATTCTTCGATTCTGTCATTTCTTTTTTCTAACTTTGCCTTTAATTCTTTTATTTCATTTTTCAGTTCATTTACCTTAGCAAATTTTTTATTAGTACTAACAGTTAATTCATTCAAACTGCTAATTAATTCATCCAGAAAAAAATTTCTAAGTTCATAGTTATCATAACAGATTTAACTTCTTCAATCTTCTTTATATCCTTTTTCAATAATTCTTTTAGTGATTAAATTATCTTCTTCTTCTTCTATTTTACCTTCATTTAATCACTTTCAAAATAATTCTTTATTTTCTTTGAAGTTTAATTTGATGAGGTTAATAAAAATATCTTTTTTAGCCTTATTTCTTATATTACAATGAACACTTGTTTGCTTGTAGTAAAGATAATAACTGTAAGTATTTAAAACTACATTCTTGCAAGCTGGTTTAAAAGGATATAACTTACAAAAATCAGACCACTTTTCTTGATCACAATAAACTCTCATAATTTTATTAACTATATCTACATTAGGATTATTAGTGTAATGACTTTCACTTAAAATAGTAGCTATTCATATTCTAATTTCTTCATTATTCAACTGTTTAAATTGTAATGATGTTTTTAATTTTTCATTTTCTTGTTCTTTTTTGGCTAACTGCTTTTTCAACAACTCTATTTCTTTTAATAGTTCTTGGCTTTTTTGTTATTGTTCTCTTATTATATTTATCATAGTATCCTTATTTCTTTTATAAATATATATAATTCTCTCTTTATATATAATATATTTTTACATTTAATATTTTCTTTAAACTTTGAAAAGCAAAAAAAAAACTAGCAAATTTATTAAAAGATTAAACTTATTAAATTTAATGACAGCAAGAAAAGAAAAATTACGAAAGTTATTTTTATTCTAAATATTTTATTCACTGTCAGTATAGATTAGTCATAGATAAATAACATTTTTAAATTTATCTCTAATAAATAAACGAATATTATGGTAAAAATATTCTTGCCTTTTATGATCCAGAGAAGGTGATATTAATATCAAAATAGATAAAAATTTGATTTCTTTAGTAATTTTGAAAACACTTGATTTTCTAGTTTTTAACAAATTAAATTCAATAAAAAATCTATTAGTAACTATTTGAGTTTTCACAATGCTAAGATTAGCTGCTTCAAAAAAAAAATGTTGATATTTTTGTAAATCACTTAATTTCTTAAAGAAAATTCCTAATAATGAATTGAGATCTAAATATTAAAAACCTTTCCCATTGTCATAACACTGAGTTTTATTTAATCCTACTATACTTGATCTTTTCACAACTTCAATAATATGATTCACACAATCTACTATTGTATTTTGGTAAAGTTTTTTAATCAATCCAAAACTGCTATGCTCTGAACAGTTCGGTTCAGTCTAGATTATAGGCCAATCCAAAACTGAACTGAAAATTTCAGTTCAGTTCAGTTCAGATTAAAAATCTTAAAAATGCCAATCCAAAACTGAACTAAACCATAAACCAGTAAAAATCTGAACTAAACTGAAAATTTTGGATTAATCTGAAATTTCAGATCGTTTGAAATGATAACTTCAATCGTTCCAAATGAACGATTTTTTATCATTCTGAATGATTTTCTTATCGTTCGTTTAGAACGATATTTTGATCATTCTAATTGAACGATTTTCTTATCGTTCAATTAGAACGATATTTTGATCGTTTTAATCAAACGATTCTTTTATCATTCGTTTGGAATGATAATTTGATCATTTCAATCAAATGATTCTATTATCGTTCATTTGGAATAATATTTTGATCATTCTAATCAAATAATTCTTTTATCATTCGTTTGAAACGATAATTTGATCATTTCAATTGAACGATTTTCTTATTGTTCGATTAGAACGATAATTTCATCATTCCAATTGAACGATTTTCTTATCGTTCGTTTGAAATGATAATTTTATTGTTTTAAATGATCTAAAATTTCAGATTAATTCAAAATTTTCAGTTCAGTTCGGATTTTTTTTAGTTTGGATTAGATTTATAATCCGAAAAAAATCTGAATTGAACCGAAAATTTTCAGATTGAATTTTTTGCAATCTGAAACTGAACTAAAGTTGATCTGAACTGAAATTTTTTGGATTAATCCAAACCGTTCAAAGCTTTAATCACACTTGAATTTAATATGTTCAGGTATCATAAAATTTAATTTGATACTTTCATAATAACCACAAATTACTAGATATAGGTAAAATCAAATAGTAACATTATTTTTATTTTGACCACCTGCATTATTACAAGTAATTTTTAAATTCTTTTCACCTTTATTTAATCTCTTAATTCCGTCAAAAACCATGCTAAAAGTACCATTAGGACCTTTACTTATTATTTCATTTTCATCAAAAATATAATTAATTTGCTTATGTATTACTTTATCTTGAATACTAAATAAATGCACTTTACGTGAACTGAAATAGTAAATCTTACTTATTTGTTAATCAGAATGTGAAATATGAACATTTTATGCTCAATCGTAACTGTAGTGAACAGTAGCATTAATACTATAATAATCAACTTCGCCTTCTATCACAAGATAATTCTCATCTACAAATTTTTTTGTTTTGCTACTAATTTTGTATTCTGGTTATAATAATTTCTTTCTAACTTAACCTTAACTAGATATTCTTTGTATTTTGTTAGTAAATTTTTTGCTGCTTCCTCCTTATAGATATTATACTGTAAGCCATTCTGAAAATGTTAGCACATATCACATAAATCTGTTTTTAGACTTATAATTTGAATATAAGGTGTTAATTGATATCACAACTTATGAAATGCATCATATTTTAATAAGTTTAACGTGCTATCTCATTTAAAACCTGCAAGAAAATCACAATAAACTGATTTATAACTAATTTCTGCTAGTAGAAATATAAGTGATTGAGTAATTCAGTTGACATTTCTATCAGGACTTGGTAATTCATGAATTTCAGCATAATTCTTCAGAAAATTCTTAACTGCTACTACAACATTTTTATCTATTACTATTTTGGTTTTTTATTGTAACATTTTTTTTACATTACCATGAATTCTTGAAATAAATCTATTATTTGTTAAGTGATTTCTAATATTTTTAAAATAAGTTTGACCAATTCCTAACATATTAAGATATGTTTTCTGACAAAGTAATGTATTATGATCCCAATGATAAAATGTTCTTTTATTAGATCTAATTTTTCTTTTAAGAAGTTTATTATTACTTATTATTTTACTATTCATAACTTTAAGTTGAGCCATTAAAAATATATCTTGTTCTGATTAAATAAAGCTTGAAAATCTCCTTGCATTTTTGCAAATTTTTCTTTTGGAATTTTATTTGAATAACCACAATTACAACCATTTTTTAGAAAATTTATTGCTTTTTCATATTCAGTAAAATTATTACTATTATTTATTATGCAGTATATCACTTTATAGTTTTTTAGCTATTAAAAAAAGATATATTTATTTTTTATAAACTTTATGTATAACAAATAGTAAATACATCACTTTTAAACATCTGAAAATAAACTAACTAGATACAATTTATATTGATGGATTACAATAAAAGAAACTTTACATTTTGAAATGAAAATTACTATTTATTAATAATCATACTAATAGTAATTACAGTCAATTCTTGATATAACGAATTCTTAATATAACGAATTTTTTGAACAAATATAATAAAAATACTCTTGTTATAGCGAATTGACTAATTAAATCTCTTAAAATCTTCACTATAGCTTTATAGCGAAGTTGAGATCTAAGACATAGAGTTCATTATAACAAGAATTGACTGTATTATATTTATTAAAATTTATTGTTCAATTTAATTATTTGTTGCTTTAATAATAAACTTATATTTACTCTTTTTTAACTATCTATATTTTAGACATCAGTATTATTGTATTTATCTAATAGTAATTTTTCATCTGGATTGTTAGGACACCAGGGTAAAAATGTTTCAATATATTTAGTTCAATCTCCTAATATAGAATCATAGGATCACATTTTATCATAAGAATTAATGTAGGCACTAAGTATTGCATGTAAACTTTCAATAGTTTTTTCACGTGCAACTTTAAAAGACCTGAAACTTAAAATAGCATAGTGTGTAATTGGTTTTCCCTAATCAGACCTAAGGGTGGTTCCCCATTCCTCTTCCAAATTTTTAAATCCTTTTTCATGTGCTCTAAGCCAATACATGGCAAGATAACGAGAATTAACTTCTGCTAAATCACTTTTTTCAAGAACATATTTAGGTGTAACTTAGATATTGCATCTATTTTAAAATTGGAATTGGTAGACTTTAAGTTGTGATTCTTGATTTGAATCATTTAGAATGTATAGTCATCATTTTCTGTGTGAATAGGTATTAAAAAGTCAGCACCTTTTTAGTTATGTTTAAGATTGAATGCAACACTAGTTTCATAACCTTTGTTAAATCATTTTTAATTGGAATGGTAGAAATAGTAACAAATCTTGTAAAGAGATACTGGCATTTTTAAGAGTATTATATTCATCATTATCATTATTTAAAATGCTTCTATAGTTCAATAATAATTCATTTAAAAAGTCTATCAATTTAATTTCTCCTACAAAAAAGAGAATTTTTTTTCTTCTTTTCTTTCTTATTTGAAGACTCTGATGGGTCAATATAAGAATGAGCTCTCCAACAATCTCACTATGATTTCTTGGTTCTACAATTTTTTGATCAAGTGTTTATGCAATACAATATAAAATGTTATTGTTCAAAAGTTCATAAACAGCTTCAGTAATCAAAGGTTCTGATAGATAATAAACTAGAACTTTTATCTATCTTGAGAGATCACAAAACAGATATCAAGATAACTACCAATGAGATTTAAAGCAAAATGTACTGATGGGAAAATGTTTACAGAATACAAGGAAGTAAGTATTGCTACATTTGTAAGGTTTTTCCTTTTTTCGTAATCTTTACCCTTAATTAATAATTTGCCACCTCCTTGTATTTTTGCTTTTATAAGATTTATGACTTTATCCCAAGCATAAATATCATTTTCCTCAAAATTAATACCTTTACAGTATGCATTTTTGAGTGCCTTTTAACATGGTCTTTCATTAGAGAAGAGACAATTATAGTAAGTATCTGAAGAATCAGTCAGAGTGTTAAAAGTTGTAATATTGATGAATGACATGAAGACCTTGCGGCTATTATTGATTGATTTCACAGTTAGGTTATCTCTAGGAGAAGGTGCAATGTTTAAGAGTCATGATGTAGTGTCTAAGATCACTGTAAATAAACCTTTGCCTGCCACTTATTTTCTTAAAGTGCACGCCTTCAACATTGAAACAAAGACATATGTATATTATTGTTATTGTACTTTAGAAGTGTTTTTCCCTCATCAATGCAGAGCAGAACTTTTATTTCAGAATTAACATTTCCAAAATTTTCTTTTAGATAACCTGCATTATCCCTAATTAATTCTAGTTTTCTTTGACTTTGTCTGATTTCGTACATATTTGCAATAACTATTATAGGATTCTAAATAGATTTGCCATTATCATTAAGTTGCCATTCCTAAAATCGTCTAGAATTAGAACAATAATTCTCTTGATTCTTTATTATCAAGGAAATTGCCTTACCAAGAAAGTGTTAAACCAAGCTTGCAGATCGTTAGATTTTTCAAATGAATTGATAAAGTTTTTTGCAATGGCAGAAGGGTGTGAAAAACATTTTCTATCAATACCCAAATTTAAGTATAAAGTATAAACATTATTTGCATACTCTTTTATGAGTCTTGATTTGCCATAGCCTAAAAAATGTAAAACAGTAAGATAAGGCATGTAAGTGTCTTTAGATTTATAGTGACATTCATCAATATATTGTTAAAAATAGTTTAGAAATTCTGATTTATCTTTGAATTCGTGATTAAATGCAATAGAAGCATATTTAAACTCAGGCACATATTCCAGCATATGTCCCACTGATCCTTCTTCTTTCCTTTTCTCTAGATCTACTTGATCTGATGATAAATGAATAATCATGATCATAATTAGCTAAACCATATTTAATTTAAAAACAAAAATTAGACAAAGTGATAGATATTCTAATTTGATCTTACCTTTAACTACAATATGCAATGCATTTTCTCTTGTATTAAACAATCCATCGATAGGTATTTCTGAACCTAAGACTTCGTTCTCTCTGCAATAAAAGGTGATGACTTTTTCATATACATTTTTAATATTCTTTCTTAACTTTGGTTTAAGTGATTTTATCAGATCTTTGACATTAGATATTTCATATTCTTCTAAAATACTTTATCTGAAAGTGATGGTTCAATCTTTATAACAGACGTGTATTTCATATGCTTGAGCTATGTTAAAGTTAAATGAATGTAAATAGCAAATATCAACTTAAGTGAATAAGTAATATTTTTAAACACGAATAAGTATGAGTGATTATAAATAATTATCTGGTGAGATACTTGAGTCAGCTACCATAGGCGAATGTATTATTTCTAGTAAGACAAAAGATATATTTAGATATGAACCATCATACAATAGGACAAAGAATAGTAAAATACATAAATTAATAGAGATATACCTTTAGCTAACTCCATTTTTGTTATTTTTTTTTCCAATTTTTGTATCCTTTCATCATTTAATGTGGTTGCTAATGAAATTTAGAAACTCAATAAATGAATAAAGCTATATATTTGTGTTTCTATTTTATAATGACACAAAAAATAAGCAATAAACCAAATAGGAAGGACATACCAGAAAGTGTCACTTTTATTAGATTAATAAGTTTGATACCAAAATCACTAACCAATCTCTTAAAGCTTTTACCGCAATTATCTCAAAAATAAGTATCGTTCAGAAAAATATATTCAGTATCAACTTTTTGTTTTATTTAGAGAGTGAGAGAATCAGCAGGTTCAGATAATCCTGATTTTTGCTTGATAGCTTCATAGAGGTGAGTAAATTCAAAACCTGGAAGCTTATTGAGTAAGCTTTTGTGGTAATTTTTGTTTATACCAGATATTATACTTTTTTAGTATAATACTCATTTTGGATGAAAAAGTTAATAGAGGAAAGGTTTTTTTAAATTTTTTGATTGCAAATTTATTTTCTCCTTATTTATATAAATAGATGATTGTATAACACGCAATAAAAGTTATGTAATTTTAATTTATCAGATATCAAAAGTATCTTATCATCATAAATTTCGTCATCATCAGGTAATGATTAACAAATAAACATTCAGAGACAGAAATTCGAAAAATTACCTATTAAAAATGAGATTTGCGAACATTTTGAAAACGTTTAAGCAGGAGTAATTTATTGACATTACGGCATTAAAAAATTATCCATAATGAGAGTGTGCCTCATAGGAAGACTTTCATGTGATTAGCTGATAAGGTTACACAAATTTTATAGTTAATATTGTAATTATTTATATATAGCACGTGATATTATTATACATAATATTAAACTGTACAAACTATTTAAACTATATTTAAAAGTTAAAATTTAATTTTAAACTTAAGTTTAAAGTTTATATATTATTAAATATAAGCTATATTAAAGTTTCTGATATTAATTTAAAATTAATATATTATAAACTCTGAAAAAATTGAACTGCACTGTAACATACTGTAACTGTGCTATTTAATGATTATTTTGAAGAATCTAATTTTGTTTCGACATTAAAATAATTAAAATAAAAATAGTTTTTAGTTTAGCAATTTATTTTTATAATATTTATAATTAACAATTTTGTATAATTTTAATTTTTTAAACTAATTAGACTAATATAAAATCAGAAAATTATTGAGTTAAATAAAGCTGGATTACTGATTAACTAAAATCAAAATTCTTATTTATTATTTATAAATATTATTGTGATTGAAATTTTTGCAATACTTTTTTCAATGTAAATGTCATACATCCTACAGATTTATTTTCATTGTCGTTATCACAAAGAATATTATCATCATCCTTTTTAACTTTTATTTCGTCAAATTGTTGCAATTGTGTTAGCAGGGACTGGATATTTTCATCAACGTTATCTTGTAAAAATGAGAGACAATATGAACACTTGAATTCATTATTATCATAACAAACTTTATGATATATATGGTCGTAAGATAAAACTATAATCAGACCTATATGAATAGATGAAGAAATAGAACAATTAGTAGTATCACAATAATAAATGGATTTGGCTTATGCGAAGTATTGAAAACTAAAGGAAGATGACATAATTTTGCTTCTAGCATTTTCATTTACGGCTAGAATTACAATATCATTATTAGATTTCTTTTTCTTTTTTGAAGATAAATTCATAGCAACAGTCTGTAATAGAAATATTAAAGATATTTTATTGTTAAAAAAGCATACATAAATATCTGAAAAATATTATAACAAAAAGCATGCATTTTTTTTGTTAAAATTGTAATATCTCGTGCAGAATATTCATATGCTACCCATGTTGATGTGTGTGCAAAATTCTCTCTAAAATCATTATCATCTAGACGTAATTGGTTAATGTAACGCTCATATTTGATAATCTGTTGCGCTTCTGTATGTTTCTATGTATCTTTATGCAAAAAACTATGAAAAATCTCAACAGTTGCATCTGAAAATTTTAAAAGTTCAGCCTTAATAACCTCTAGGATTAGATGATTATTTGACTCCCAATAAAAAATATCAGACAAAAACATTAATGGTGTTTTATTATAATTTTGCATTGAAATCTAAGAAATATTATCTAAACCTAAAAATAAGATTCCAAATAAGCATTAAAATCGCTAAACTGAAAAAAAAATAGCATAAATATCTAAGACCAAAGAAATTATATTATAAAGAAGATCCTTCAACATGAGGTATTCGACATCTTTGCATAAGAATCCAAATTTTTTTTCAACTACTTTAGAAATTTCCTGCTAAGCACTATGAGAAATTTCTAAAAGTAGATTAATACGCCATAGTTTAGATTTTTGTATAAGAGGCCTTCGTTCTCCAAATATATTCTTATACATGGCTGAAAAAAAGACTGGTATTGAAGGAATACTAATTCTTGACTGTTTAATGAAATATGTAAAGGACCTATAATAGGAATAAAGGATAAAATTGAATTAGTAATATTTGAAGAATCATTATAAAGTAGATAATGAAAAATAGCAGTTCTAAGATAAATTTGGCCTAGCCAATCAGCAACAATGGGAATAACCTATCCTTTTTGAATGTATTGTTTCATAGATGGAATATTTGTAACAGCATCAATTACCTTAATATATACATTTAAAGAATGTAGATTATTTTCTGTAAATCTACAAGAATAATATTCTTTATAGAATGAATAATACATTTTTCTTTCAATTTAATATCATAACTATGCACTGTTAACTCCTCTAATTTTGTATTATCATCAACTTCACGAAATCCCTAACGTTGATTATGTGATAATTCATAAAGTATCATGAATTTATTTTCTAAATTCATTTTGATCAATTTAGCATCAACCAGTATGGGATTATGTATATGGGGTCTTTACAATAGAAAGGGAGGAAACTCTAAAAAAATTAAAATTTTAATTTATAAGCCAAAAATATTTTTAATACTATAATTTGTTCAGATTTATTATTAACTTATTTTTTATTTTTTTTTTTGAGTTTTCTCCCTTTCTATTGCAAAGGCCTCATATTTGATTTTAAAATTGCATTTTGAATAGTAATTGGATTCATTAGAATTGTTATCAAATATGTCGCAGTAGATGTAGTAGTCGTATTTGGCATTCGTTTTGTATGAATGCTATAGTAATCATCAATGTTTAATATTATCGCTCTATTTATATGTTCAGCAAGTGCAGAATTGACAGTTTTGGCATGTTCTTTGGATGCGGCAATTTTGTATCGCATAACTGTACGAGATGTTGTAGTTATACTTAAATTTGTAAGAGTATCAATAGAATTGTTAGAAACACCAGTAGAATCCAAATATATTGTCAAATCCTTTTTTGCATTATTGACAAACTTATTTTGAATTTCACAAAGAAAATAGCATATAAATAGAAGCTGTTTCTTTGCTCATGCCTGTGAATCCTTATTTTTTGAAGATGGATTAGATGAAAGATACAATTCATCAAAAATAGTTTTAACTTTGCATCCTTTGCTTCCATAACTGTTTGAAATTCGTCAAATAAATATAAAGTTGATTCCTTTTCTTTATTTTTACGAGTATGTAGGATATTTGTTATAATTTCTATTGCTTTAGAAAAAGATAAAATAGAATTAGATTTAGTTTTAAGCTTATGCCGTTTCACATTAGTTTTGACATATTCTTTAGCATGTTGCTGAAATTTAAGAAAGTTATTTGTAATAATTCCATTATAACAATTTAAACAGATTGTATCGCCTTCTTGAACATAACCCAGTAAAGTTTCACTGGCTTGACCTTTAGTCAGAACATTCTCAGTTACTCTTCTCCATTGAGTTGATTTTTTCTGACATATAGTAATTACACAAGGTCCGGTAATAGCATTTGATAGTGACATTGCCTTCTAAGTAAAGTACTTTAAGGATTCTGATTATTTTTTGATTATTTTACACAGCGAACCTTGACGGTCTTTTAAAACTGAAAATGAAATTTTTTTTGTGATACACTAATGATAATATCATAAATTAAAAAAGTACTTTAAACTGTATAAATTCAATTGAATATGATCGGCCAATCACGTGAAAGTCCTCCTATAAAGGGAGGGGTGTAGACCCTAATCGTCCAACCCCATGTATAAATAAATATTTAAAGTATATATCACGTGACATACAGTTACCCTCCCTAGGTTAAGGATGCCCCTTAATAAATAGTAAAAAAATTATTTGATTATAATCACGTGTCCAAGGATTTTTTATAGAGTTCAAAATAATATAAAACTGATCAAGTTGATAAATTTCTTTTTTATTAAAATTTTTATTATTATTAAAATTAAAAAGTTTTTTGCATTATTTGCATTGTCCATCATCAAATTAACCTTTGCTATATTATACCTAAAAAAAAAAAAAAAAATAATAATAAATATCAAAGTCCAATAAATAATTCCTTTATTCCTCCTATTTTTATTTTATTTTATTTTTTAACCATTTAATAACTTACCTATGATTAAATTAAATTATTAGCTGTTCACTATTCATCCAAACTTTCATTATCATAACTTCTCCAAAGATCATCTTCTTGGAATTTAAATAAATTTTTGCAATTACATCAATCCAACCTTTCTGAATAAAACAGTTCCAAATACTCCGATTGCAATAAGCACACTAAATATACTGAAAAACCATGCAACATTTTCGACATTTTGACCAGGTACTTGAACATTCATTCCAAACAAACCTGAAGAAAAAATTTTTAATATTTATATAATAAAAATAAAATAAGATAAATAAAAAGTACATACCTGTAATAACATTCATTGGTAACAAAATGGTACCAAAAACAGTCATTCGATTTAAAACTTCATTAGTCTTGTTACTCAATTGTGTGATTTCAATTGATATTTGAGCAAGATAGTTGGAATGTGCACGTGACAACATTGTTTCATAATGATTAAGATTCTGCAACATAGTGATAAGATGATCTAGAATAATATTAATAGTTTTTTTAAATTTTGCGAATTTTTTTTTTTTTAAAAAAAATGGAAATCCTAGACGTTACGTTATTAATATACCTTGAATATCACCCAGGTAGAGGCTCACATCTCCAGGTCCATTTTTATCGCTATCATTAACCAATAATTTATCGTCACACCTTTTAATTAATCCTTTAATAACGTCGACTTTGGTTCCCAACATCTTTGATAACATCGTAACCATCTTACGGCATAATCCTATTCTCACCAACATGTCTTGCCGTTCCGAGTTTTTAAGCACCATGACAAGTTGATCAATTGCATCGGATTCAAATTCCACCTTATGAATTAAAGGTGCAAAATAATCCGTAATATCATCCATTATAGCATAATTTATCCAATCTAGTAGAAAAGTAGAAATAAGATTTATGATTATAATATGAATAAAGATAATTAATCTTATACTATAACCAACCAACCGGGCGTAACTGTGATGAAATCTTTCAAGTGTCGTATCCTATTCCTAACATTATGTTGATGTGGTGTTGGTTGAAAATGAAACTCAAAAATGTAAAAATAAAAATTAATTTTATATTATATTTATTGTTTCGCACATACTATAAATTCCATTTTTTTTTTAAAAAAAAAAAAACTACTTACTGACAAAATTCCTTCTCTCATGACAACATTATACATATTAACGGGCTCAACTTCAGCCGTGTTTACATTATTATCATGAGATTTAAAGCTAATAAAATAATAATTTTTGAAAACTTCACATTTCTCTCGTGATTCCTCGGTTTCAATATCTTCCATTGTCAATGGATGAATATGGAAAATCTAATGAATTTGAAATTTTTATAAATAACATGGTTCAAATTATCATTATTGAAAAAAAAAAAAAAGACAAATATCACACCGAGCTTAAGATTCTCATCTCTGAATCAGTTGGTGCAAGGACGTCAAGCCAAAAAATCCCTTGCTTTAATAACTCGGTCATTGTTTTACCCTCAGGTGAAATTTCTGCAAGTGACTTTGCTTTGATGGTTCCTGATGCTACAGAATAAAAAACAAATCGATAATCCTCTCTTATTTCGTTAAAGTTCTGGAATTTAAAAAAATTAACATGAAATTCATGATTGAAAACTACAAATTTTCAATTAATTTATTTAGATAACCACCTTAATTCTTTCACTAAATTCACTAACTCTTCTTAATGATAATTTTCTCGGTTCACTTTCTACAGGCGAAAGACATTGATCCTTGTCATTTTTATTTAAAAGCTTTTCTCCTCTAATATATTCTTCCAATGCTTCGTAATCAAAACCGTCACTTTTAGCAATTCTTAATGGATAGCAGACATCTTCTTCGGCATTAGAAAGTTTTCTAGTTAAATTATATGAAGTGGTATGATCCCCCAAAAATGATTCTTCGTCGTTTCCATTCTCATTGTTAGCAGCTATGTCAACTACAAAATCATGAATTGGCGTTGATAATCGAAGTTTTGGTTTATCATTTGAATTTTCATCACTTTTGGTTGAAGAGTTCGGAGTTGATTCCTCGACATGTTTTTCTTTTTCATTTTGCGATTGTTGTGAAGGTGACGGCGGTGGTGGAATAGGTGGAATATTTTCTGATTTTTGTGTGGGAAGTGTGGGAGGTGTACTATTATTATTATTTTGATCAATTCCTGACATGATTATAATTTAAAAAGGTTGTATAAATAATGTATATAAATAAAACACCAGAAAAAAAAAAATTTGATTTTTATTCAACTACATAAGTTGGTATCAGATTATACAAGAATTTTATTGAGGTTTGTTTTTTAGATATCTCAAAAATAACCGAAATATAAATAAATGCAAAAATATTTCATGTATGAGGTAGATCAATAGATACAAATTTAAATTTGCTAATTAAAACCTGTTACGACAAAAATCTTTTTTAAGGAGTATCGTAACACCAATGTCTTTTTTACAGTAAAAGCAAAAATTGTATAATCAACTAATCCTCTTCCATTCTATCACCGCTATGGTCATCGGCATTTTCGTCGTCATTGTGATCTCTTTGTCGTCTGCCCGCTTGCTCCTGAACAGCGCGAAGAAACGCCTCCACGCCTGAAAACGGTATGAATTAAATATTCTAATTAATGCCGATTAACAAATTGACCAATAAAAACTTACCATTTCCGGCTGATGGATCTAAACCCAATTGAGTCAGCAAAGGTCCTAATTGGCCCGATTGTAAAGCCATGCTTAAAGATTGTAATGCCTGACGCAATGATAAATGACGTTATTTATATGGATAAGATTCACGGAGACCCCTTTAAAGAAAATTTACCTGAGCAAATTGTGGACTGTTAACAACAGCACTTAATTCTTCAGGCGATCTTTCAATATTGGATGGTAGATGAGGAAATAGAGCTAACGTTCAATCAGAAATTAATATATATAAATTAATAAATAAATCACATTAATCGATAACCAAACCTGATGATATTTCTGGATTATTTAATAAGGGTCCAATAGCATTGGGTGATAGAACATCTTGCAGATTTACGTCTACACAAATAAATTAAAATATATAATATATTTTTAAGGAAAATTATTTATCATACAAATCATTTTCATAAACACTAACCAGGCCTCGTTCCTCCCTCTAATAAAATAAAAAATCAAAGGTTTTCAATTAAAACTTTCAACAAAGGAATTTTTTTTAAAACACAAGAAAACGTACCTGGGTTTTGTATACTTGGCAAAACATTTCTCAAGCTACCTAATTGTTCCAATTGTTCGGGAGTAAAACCAGTGTTTTGTTCAGTTGTCTGTGCACCAGAACCAGCTTCTGAAGTCGCAGCTGTGGCAGATTGTGGCTCGCTGGCAGGAGTAGTTGACGTGATGGGAAGCCCACTAATCAAAAAGAGAACTCATTAATTGTTTTATGAATTACCGCATCATACAAATATCGCTTACCCTAATCCGCCTTGAAGTAATTGCAACAACTGCTCTTGATCCACTCCAAACCCCAAATCATCCATATTTCGAAAAGGACTACCTAATTGACCTGCATTATTTTGTTGTCTACTTTCCGCTAATCCACCTTGGGGATCGTTAATTAATCGATTCAACTTTGCAACGTTTTCTTCATCCTTTTCATCTTTTGCATCTTGCATCCAATAAAATAATTTACGGGAAGATGATTTGAAATTAAGTATATATACACGACCAGTTGTACATTGATCTACTCGAATAAATTCGGCTTCATCAGGGAAGAGAATGAAATCCTAAATTATAAAAGAGAAATTAATTAACAAATGATAACCATGTAATTTTTTTTTATTTTTTAATAAATAAATAAATAGAGGATTGAAACTTTTATTTGTGATAATCTTACATCCTCCACGGTATTGGCTTTTCTATCTTTCCAGAAGAAATGCATCAATTGATCTTCACCCTGTCAGAAAAATAAAGACTTGTTCAAGTACGAAATCTTCATATAAAGTCAACATCAGTTTACTCACCTGATCCATGTATATGAGTCTAATACACGTGAAAGAGATAAAATAACAAGGTAATTTATAATAAATTTGTAAAGATTAACCAAAGAACACTGACACAAGTTGAATTGAAGCATACTCACCCCTTTCTTTCGTCAGCCTTCAACCAATTCGAGCCTTCCTCTCGTTTAAGTTTCCCGGCTTTGAATTCGACAGGATACTTTCTTCGAGGTACCGGAGTTGGAAACAAAGATGTGGCCATTATTGGTTTTCTTAAAGAAAAAATGGTTTGAATTCAAATTGAGCGGCAAATATTGAGTTTTCATGTGGCAAAAAGTGATACGTATAAATCACGTGAAATAAATCTAACCAAAATCGTTGAATTTTATTTTTTAATTTATAACACGTGACACAAATGCAGGAAATAAATGTATATAATTTTGCTTGTTCTTTTTCGTCAAGGAAAAAAATAATAATTATTATAATAAATGACACTTCAATGTGAATAGAAATATGATTGTTGCAATACGCGATAATTATTACATCAATAAATTTTTGATATCATGAATTAATGATATCTGTATCTAAAAAAAAAATAATTATTATTAAGCTAAAATATTTTATTTATTTATTTAATTTTTTTTTTTTTTTCCAAGTACACAAAAAATGTTGTACTATATATTATTTCTAGCCAATCCATCATAAAGAAAAAAATAAAATAAATTTTTTTTTTTGACAAAAAAAAAAAATGAATGAAATAAAAATAATAAATTGAAATTGTTTTACGCACCATTTAAAAAATTTACATATCCCAATGATTTCAGCATAAAATAAAAAAAAAAATTGTTCTTGCAATTGATTAATTACCCATCTTGTAAATACAAATAATAAATCAGCTCTAATTTATAAGGATTATTAATTATTTTCGGCTTGATTCATGCACGCCAAAGATTTTAGCAGATATCAATTCTTCTATCCAATCAATATTTCCGCAACCGACGACACGTTGCATATTCTCTGTACTTTTAAGTTCCTCCCACCTCGTTGTCGCGAATCCCATAGCAGCAGATTTCAAACATGTATCACCCATCTGCCATCCCAACAGCAGGATTTCATCCCAATTATCAACATTCACATCTTCCGCGATTCGATTAGCAAGTAATTTCCCAAAGGTTTCTAAACCAAGCATATCTGCTTTCATATATGCAGATTTGAGAGTATCCAATTCCAGATTTTCTTCTAATTTTCCCGTATAAAGATAAAACATCACGCACCTAAAAATCTCATAATCAATTTCCTTGATGGGAATTATTTTATTGCGACCTTCTACCCATTGTCCGCTTAACAAAGATTCAAAATATTTCGACTGCGAAGCTAGAATTATACGATGTGCCCTAATCCTTGACCCACATGTAAAGGTGAATTCAACGTCACAAAATCGATCATCATCAAAATATCGAGGAATTTGAGTAGCTAATGGGAATTCACCATGTGGCATATCTGTTGAAGATGCTAATAATGCAGCATTTTCTTCATTTGTGATGCGAACTCTCACTATCAGATCAAATTTGCTCGTTGGATCTGGATAAACTTCCGACAATTTTAAAAATTGCCTTCGTCCAAACACCTGATCAGATCCAAAACCAAATCTCGTCTTTGAGAATTTTTCATTTTTCAGTAAAACTGGGGTTGGAGTGACCGAACCTAACGCAGAAGAACTACATATTGAAGATTCTAAACGATATACTTCAAAGGCATACGTTCGTTCCCTTCCTGACGAATTTCCATCCCTCTCAAGATCCGTTGGAATAGCCTTTAAAAATAATCCCAAATAATTTTTATCAGTTTGTGAAACTCCATTCGGATACATGCACATTCGCCATAAATAATCCGAAGAATCTAATCCAACACCTTTTTGTTGAGGATTATTCGGTTCGACAAAACTATCACTATAAAACCATCTTCCAGTTGGATATAAATCTGCTACTTCATGATAATCCCTAACGGTCCAAGTAAAAGTAAATTGGTCAGGTGTTGCCAACTTGTTATTCTGTTGAGGTTGCTCTGCCGCGTGCCGACTCTGCTGAAAAAGCCATTTCATACTCATGCCTTTATGGTTTTCAGAGTGATGTCGTAGGGGTGGAATTTTGGTAAGTTTTTTTTTTTATTTTTTTTTTTTTCTTATTGGTAAAAAAGAATAATTTGAAAAAATTGTCACTGCTAGATATATAATAATATGAATTATAATTAAAAAATCTCATTATTTATCTCGCAATAAAAGTTAAAGACAAACGAATAAATAAATAAAACATTTTGACCGCAAAATGTTGATCTTTCTCGGAAAGAAAAAAAAAAAAGATCCTTTTTTTTGCGAAAGAAATTATACAAGAAAGTACCTCCTTCAAGCTTCCAAGAGAATATGAAATAGAGAAATGGTTATGAAACCTTTATTAATATTACTTTTACTTTTTGCTTTTTGCGCACGGGTAAAAAAAAATTTACGAGTGAATGTAAATTGTTATAACAAAAATCAAAAATAATCGAAATAGGAAAAATGCATTTACAGGTTTTATGTTTTTTTTGTGAACCCTTATGGAATTTATAAAATAAGGTAACGACGCACAATGCACATTAAAAAAAAGTATCTTCTTTCTTTTATTCAAATTTTTGAACCAACAGATTTATTGTAAAGACTAATAGTGGATGTGGATCAACAACTTGCACCATTATACCATTATGATAAAACTATAACGAAAAAAAACGAAAAATTGAGATGATTAAATAAGGGATTTATTTGTCACGTGTTTAGATGTCATTGAGTTAATTGTTCAGGAGTCGTTTCAAAAAAATTTAATAAAGAATTCGTAATCCGAAGAAATTCTTTTCGAAAATTTTAAAAAATTTTATTTATTTTATTCCATTTGTAATCAACATAAAAAAAAAAAATAGAAAATTTTAAAAAAAAGATTTTCCCGCTCGCTCTAATATAATATTTTTTTTTAAAAGGAAATATTTTTCCAAAAATTGATGCTCGCAATGTAAGCAAACATCTTATTAGGGGGTTGATAGGTTGTCGGCAGAAGTACTCTCGGATGGGACCTCATTAAGCACTTTGCTCCCCCCTCGATAAGGACTGAAGATCTATTTTCTGGTTAATTTGGATGTATATTTATATTCATTACACTCATGCACTTAGTTATGGGATTGAAAAATTTTATCGATGATCTATTATAAGATGCGTCATCGGAATGTCAGTTGACTTGATCAGTTGTTTGTTTGAAGACAGCGAATCCAAATACGTTGATGTATCTTTTGGTATCTGGTATTATTGAATCTTCTCGATTTAATTTTTTTTTGAGTCCGGGCCATTTGATCATTTAGCTAAATTTGTAAGCTAATGTTCGGTATTTTCGGACTGTTATGTAAGTTAGAAAAGGAAGTTTAGAAATTGAGAAGAAATTGATTAAAAATTGTGAAGAATTTGAGATTATGGGATAATTTAATTGTTTACTGCGGGAGGCGTAACGCGCTCGCAGGAGCTGTAACATCAAAAAAAAAAATTTTTTTGTTTCTTTTGTTTGCTTTTGCCAAAAGGGTTAAATTGATGATGTATGATCTCTTCTTGATGAATAAGGAGCATTATATTAGCAGAATCCTTTTGGTAAAGCATTTGTTTTATTTAATACAATACGTATTTTAAAAACACAATTCGTTTAAATATCGCTCATTTCTTTTTAAAAAAAATAAAAATTTTAAAAAAAAAAGAATTATTATTATTATTATTATTATTATATTGGAAAAGAATTCCCAGTAAAGTAGATCAAGACAATACGATCTTTAAATTTAACGCTTGGTTCAATCATGTTTGCAATAAATTTCTTACGTTTTGTAAAAAAGAAAAAGCAGAGATCAAATAAAGATAAAATTAAATCAACTTCTAAAAGTAAAACCGATCAACCGCCATTTACAACCACTTCGGATTCATCACCTTTTGAATTGGATTTTAAAAAACAAACCCCAATCAATCCTTTTGCTGACATAAAAAAAGAGAAAAATCCATTCATTAAAACAAAGTCCATGAACTTTTCTTTAAAAAATAATTCAAATGACGAAGATGACCTTAAGAATCTCATTAAAACTAGAGAATATTCGGAAATTTCTGCGATCAAAGTAGTTGAATCTTGTCCAATTAATGAAACAAATAGCAAAGGAAAATTCGAGAATTCATCTTTTAATTTCGACGTCAAAACTTATGAAAAACAATCAGAAACTCCCATTCCTGTTCCCAAAACAGATAATCCAAATCCATTAACTGAAAAGTCCAATGAAAGTTTAAATCCATCAGAAGTAAACCATGAATGGTATTCACGATTTGACACTGCTTGGTATTTTTCAACCACCAACGATAATAAAGTGATCAAAAATAACGAAGCTGAATCTGCAGCAAATCCAAAATCAAATGAAAAAAATAATTACAATTTGAGAAAACAACCAAACAACTCAAATCGATCAAAGCGTTTAAAAAAATCTCACGAATCTCAAAAAATCATGAGCCTCTTTGGAAGGTGTTTAATTTCAAATAGAAAATCTGAATGGGAAAGGCTCGTGGTTCGTGAAGAAACGGATTATGAACACGATAATTACGAACTTCAAAGTCAAGGTGAATTGTTACCTATCCTTAAAAAAGATAGAGAGAAGGAACACACTCCTGATGAAAAACGTAAGAAAAAAGATACATCAATCATTATTCGTAAGGGAACTCCCATCGCTATTCGTCCAAACATATCTTATGAAAGTCATCATTTGAATCCTAATAAATTCTGGACATGGAAAGGTACTAATTCTTCATCCGAAAATTTATTTGAGACCATAAATTATGCAGAGTTTGATGATTTATATATAAGTCAAAAAGATTTTGAAGAGTCAATTAGAACAAAATTCACACAATGTATTTTATTACTTGCTTTATTTCTTCAATCTATTATTTTTTTGCGTAATGGATTATTTTTTTTTTCTATAGGAATTTTATTTGTAACTTGGATCACTTTAACTTACTTTATAATTGGTAAATGTTTAGAAGTTAAAAAACAAGTTTGGTAAAAATATTTGCGATCATAATTTGCCTATAGATAGATAATTTTTTGTATTTTAGTTGGTATATCTTTATACCTTCACGTAAATCTGTAATCTTGTAAAATTTATAGATAAAATTATTAATCAGAGAACATGCTTCGCGTGCTATATACATGCTTATCTTGATTTATGAGAAGTATGATTGGTTGATTTTATATCAACCAAAAATCGTTGATGCAATATGAGTCATTACTAAATGAAGATAATTTCATTTTTCCATAAAAAAAATTTCCCATATTTAATTCTCCCCCCTCCGTTTTTGAAAATAATAGATAAATAAATAAAATTCTAAACCAAGTCGCGAAGAAATCTATTAAGTTAGTTATTCAATTATCTTATTATCAAGTTAAAAAATGCTTTCTTTCGCTTCGAACCGAATTTTTACGTTGATGCGTCCAGCGTCAACTCGATTATTATTACCACGCGCAGCAACAATTTTCCCTGCTACTTTTCAACAGACACTGTTTCAGTCCACGTTAACTGGTAATGCAAAGCAGCATGCTGACATTGACGTAAGTCCTTTGTTTGCGTGCGGCATTATTGGACTGTTCTTACGAAATTCTACCGCAAACACAAAATACAAAATTAGTCTTCCAAAAAAAAAAAATTTAAATTAATTAATTAAACGATAACTTTATATTCGTAAAATATAACCAAATATACAAATCAATTTATTTGTTTTAAACAGCACAATAAAATTCGACTTCAACGTTCTGAAAACCTAAAATCTCTTATACCTAATAAAGATCTCGTGTTTGGAAGAGCGTTTACAGATCATATGTTAACAATCGAATGGAAATTGGAACAAGGGTGGTTTGATCCAATCATTCAACCTTACGGGAAAATCTCTCTAGAGCCTAGTGCTATGGTGTTCCATTATTCTTTCGAATGCTTTGAGGGGTTGAAAGCTTATAAAGATAAGAATGGGGAAATAAGGTTATTCAGGCCAGACATGAATATGCAAAGATTTAAAAGATCGGCCGCAAGAATTACATTACCGGTGAGTTGCTGACATTTTGATTAATTCTATGACGAAACCCGAATCATTAATAATATCACTCTCTCATTTAGGATTTCAATGGAGGCGAATTATTAGAATGTTTAAAAAAACTCGTTCGTCTCGAAGAACGTTGGATTCCGGCTGAAAGAGGATTTTCATTGTACATTCGTCCAACACTTATTGGAATTCAGACAACATTAGGGGTTGGAGAATGTTCACATGCTCTTCTTTTCATCATTTGTTCCCCTGTAGGCCCTTATTATAAGACAGGTTTCAGTGCTGTTCAGTTGTTAGCTACAACTGATTATGTCAGAGCCTGGCCTGGTGGTACCGGAAACGCAAAGATTGGTGGAAACTATGCACCTTGTGTAAAACCTCAACTTGAAGCTGCCGAGAAAGGGTATCAGCAAAATTTGTGGTTATTTGGTGATGACGATGAAATCACTGAAGTTGGCACAATGAACTGTTTCGTCCATTTAAAAAATGAACAGGGTGGTAAAGTATATTTTTCTTTGTATACTTGGTTACTTTATTCCTTGTAATGACGCTCTCTTTATTGTGACTACAGAAAAAGAACTCGTTACACCCCCATTAGATGGAACTATTCTTGCAGGGGTGACTCGTGATTCTATATTAAGCCTTGCGCGATCATGGAATGAATTTAAAGTTTCTGAGCGTAAGATTACAATGCTTGAAGTTATAAAGGCTCAAGAAGAGGGCCGTTTATTAGAAATGTTTGGGGCAGGTACCGCATGTATTGTAAGTCCCATAAAAGGGATTCATTATCGTGGACGCGATTTTAGTGTTCCCTTAGATCCAAATGATACTTCTAGGGCTGCAGGGCCTATTACTAAAAGATTTGCTGATATATTAATGGGCATACAATATGGAGAAATTCCACACGAATGGTCTGTGATAGTACCCTAAACTACTTAATATATATGAGATTATGGTTCTTTAATTATACTAATAAT